AAAATGGCACAGCTTAAAGACCAGGAGAGAATCTTAAAAGCCACAAGAGAAAAGCAATTAAGTTACTTACAAGGGAGCTCTCATTAGACTGTCATGTGATTTCTGAACAGAAACATTTCAAGGGATTGGCATGAAATCACTCAAGGTGATGAAAAGCAGGGGCCTACAACCAGGGCTAATTTACCCAGAAAGGCTATCATTTAAAATTGGAGGAGAAATAAGAAACTTCCAGACAAAGAAAAAAAACCAAAGGAATTTGTTATCATTAAACCAGTATTGCAACAAATGTTAAAGGTCTTGCTTTAAGAAGAAAAAGGAAAAAACCAGAGAAAATAGCTTTAAAAAAGTCAATAAATACATATTTATCTGTAATCACTTTAAATGTAAATGGCTTAGTGTTCCAATCAAAAGACATAGGGTAGCTGAATGGATAAGAAAACAAGACCTATATATAATGCTGTCTCCAAGACCCCTACCTCAGAATGAAAGATACACACAGACTAAAAGTAAAGGTATGGAAAAAGATATTTCATGCAAATGGAAAGGAAAAGTAAGCTTACATAGTGTAATTTATATCCAACAAAACAGACTCTAAAATCATGGCTATACTAAGAGACAAAGAAGGACACTACAAAATAATAAAGGGAACAATCCAACAAGTTGATATAAATGTTTATGCACCCAACACAGGAGCATCTAACTATTAAAGCCAGTCTTCATGGACATAAAGTGAGAGATTGACAGAAATACAGTCCTACTAGGGGATTTAACACCATTGATTTCAATGGATAGATCTTCCAGACAAAATCAATCAGGAGACAGCAGCCTTAAATGACACACTAGATCAAATGGATTTAAATGATATTTTCAGACCATTTCTCCCTAAAGCAGTAGAATATACATTCTTTTCAAGTGCACATGGAATGTTTTCTTGAATGGACCACATACTAGATACAAAACAAGTCTCAATAAATTTAAGAAGATTGAAATCATACCAGACCTTCTAGTTTCATAGCGCTATGAAACTAGAAGTCAGTCACAAGAAGAAAACTGAAAAATACACAAAGATGTGGAAGCTAAATAATACATTACTAAATAATGAAAGGGTCAAAAATGAGATCAAGGAGGAAATCAAGAGATAACTTAAATGAAAATGAAAACACAACAACCCCAAATCTGTGGGATATGGAAAGCAGTCCTAATTGGGAAATTCATAGCATTATATGCATATCTTAAACAAGAAAAAGATAAAAATAAACAATATAACTTTACACTTAAAGGGACTTGCACAAAACAAAGCTGAGGATGAGTGAAAGGAAGAAAATAATAAAGATCAGAGGAGAAATAAAATAGTATCTAAAAAACAATACAAAGGATCAGTGAATCTAAGACCTGGTTCTTTGAAAAGATACGCAACAGTGATAAACCATTAACCAGACTACAAGACCAACATTAGCCTAATTCCAAAATCAGATGAAGATAAAAACTCTCAGCAAAGTGGGAATAAAGGGAACATGCCTAAACTAATAAAGGCCATATATGACAGTTCCACTGCCAGCATCATACTCAGTGGGCAAAAACTACAAGCATTCCCTTTAAATCTGGGAACGAGACAGGGGTCTCATTTTTACCTCTTCTATTCAGTATAGTACTGGAAGCCCTAGTCATAGCAAGTAGACAAGAAGAAGAAATAAAAGACATTCCAAATTGGAAAGAAAGAAGTAAAACTCAGTTTTTTTGCAGATGACATGATACTGTGTCATCTGCAAAGAGAATCCTAAAGATTTCCATGTAGACACTACTGGAAATGATAAATGATTTTAGTAAAATAGCAGAATGTAAAAATTAATATCCAGAAATCAGTTGCATTTTTATATGCCAATAATGAACTCTCTCAAAATTAAGAATACAATCCCATTCACAATTGCTTCAAAAAGAAGCAATATTTTATTCCTAAAATACTTAGGAATAAATTTATCCAAGGATGTAAAAGACCTATACACAGAAAGTTATAAGAAGCTGAAGAAAGAAATGGAAGAAGGTACAAGTAAGTAGAAGCACATACCATGTTCATAGATAAGACGAATAAGCATCATTAAAATGTCCATACTACCCAAAGCAATCTATAGATGCAATGCAATTCTTATCAAAATTCCAATAACATATTCCATAGAACTAGAACAAATTTCAAAAATTTATATGGAACCACAAAAAGGCCTGTATAGCATCAGTAATCTGGAGAAATAACAAAGTTGGGGGAATCACACTGCCTAATATCAAACTATACTATAAGGCTGTAGTAATCTAAACAGAATGGTTCTGGCATATAAACAGACACATGGCTCAATGGAACAGAATAGAGAGCCCAGAAATAAACTCACATTTTTATAGTCAATATTCAAAAGAGGAAGTAAGCACATATAGTGGGCTAAAGATATTTTATTCAATAAATGATGTTGGGAAAATTGGATAGTACATGCAGAAAAATGAAACTAGACCACTTCCTTATACCACACACAAGAATAAATTCAAAATGGATCAAAGACTTAAATGTTAGACCCCAAACCATAACAGTCAAAAAAACGAAACATAGCAGTAAAATGTTGGGCATTGCTCATAGCAGTATTTTTTTTCTGATATAACTCCTCAGGGAATCAAAAGAGAAAAAATAAAAGGGACTACATCAAACTAACAAGTTTTTGCACAGCAAAGGAAACCATAAACAAAATAAAAAGACAGCCCCCTGAATGGGAAAACATTTGCCATTTCTTTTGATAAGAGGTTAATATCCAAAATTTATAAAGAACTTACAAAAACCCAACATCAGAAAAACAATTCAATTAAAAAATGGGCAAAGGACCCGAATAGACACTTCTCCCAACAGGACATATACATGGCCAATAGACATATGAAAAAGTGCTCAATGTCACTAATTATAAGAGAAATGAAAATTAAAACCACAATGAGATATCACTTCACACCTGTCAAAAGGCTGTCATCAGTAAATCAACAAACAACAAGTGCTGGTGAGGATGTGGAGAAAGGGGAACCTTTTTGCCCTGTTGGTGGGAATGCAGTTTGGTACTGCCACTGTGGAAAGCGATATGGGGTTACTTGAAAAAATTAAAATTGGAACCATCTTATGATCCAGCAGTTCTGCTTTGTGCATATTTGAAGAAACCCAAAACACTAATTTGAAGGAATATAAAGCACCCCTATGTTCATTGCAGCATGATTTGCAATAGCCAAGATTTGGAAACAGCCCAAGTGTCAGTAGATGAGTGGATAGAATAACTATTGGACATTTATACAATAAAATACTACTCAACCATAAAAATGAAGTAATTTAGCCCACTGCGACAGCTTGGATAGACTGTATATAGCATTATACTGAGTGAATAAGCCAGTCATATGTGAAATTTAATGAACAAACTAAACTAACGAGAAAAATAGAGGCAGACTCAGAGCGAGCAGGCTGACAGCTCTGGGGGCAGGTTAGGGGAGTGGAGGAATGGAGCAAAGAAGAAAAAGGACTCATGGACACAGACAACAGTGCTGATACAGGGGAAGGGGTGGGCAGAAGTGGAAAAGTGCGTAAGTGGGTTCAAAGGTAATGGGGCAATATACAATAAAAATAAACTTAAGAAAGATGGAAACTAAGGAATTCTGGGGTGCTCAAGGGTATGAACTAATATATAGAACTAGTACACTCACTTTCAGAGAGCTGTTATCAGATGATTGAACCCCATTTGCGTTGTGTTCTCAAAATTTAACTCCTAGGAAATCAAAAAAGAGGCATAGATTGCCTGTCCAGGTGGGTCAGTTGGTGGGTGCATCATCCTGTACACCCAAAGGTTGTGGATTTGATCCCCAATCAGGGCACATATTGGTTTGATCTCTGGTTGGGGCGCAACCGGGAGACAACTCATTGATGTTTCTCTTTTCCTTGGGTAATGATTTTTTTAAGAAGTTGAATCCCTTGCCCTTACCATGTTGTTGATAATGGTATCTTGGATGGCTGGTTATGTTGGATAGTATATGGGATTATGTGATTGGCTGTCCTACTAGAATCATGTGACATTAGAATGAAGTTTAGTCATCAAAAGGAATAAAGAAATGTATTCTGGACTGAAAGACAAGACATGTCCATTAAATTTATGCTTTTATTACTCATGATGTATAAATTAATAAACACTTGCTTACAAATTTACAAAAGTAAACTTTTGTCTTATTGCAATTATCCTATATTCAGTTGTAGACATTCAGTTATTTCCAATACTGTACCACCCAAAGTCCCATCCAACTATTGTAGCAAATCTGTTTGGCAATTAGGAAAATTCTTAAGAGAGTTACTTGATTAGAGGGTATGGAAGCTAGATTGTAAGAAGTTAAGGTGAGAGTCTGTGATGGAAAAGAAGAACCAAGAGATGTGGATTACAGAAAATCATTTTGTTATAATACTAGGTGATTTTAAAGGTAGAGCAACCATATAAAAGAATAGAATGATAGTAAAAGGATTCACTGTAATTATTGTGTAATATCAGGCATATACCAGGACATTTGGTTATCTTATTGAAAGTTCTGTATCTGTGGTTTAATCTGTATTAAGGAAATGGTATGTTTTATAATGCTTAGCATTTTTCAGTAGTTTTATAATTTTAAAGAATAATCACTTATATTTCCAGTGTCCTAAACTGCATAGTGCCTTTGACATCCATTACGGTGACATTTTTCATAAGATTTTTTATTACAGTAAAAGGATTATGTAATAATACAACAAATTATTGACAGTGAAAGAAGAAATAGATATCAGAATTGGAAATTTTTGCTTTAGTATGGTCTATAAAATAACTGCCCCTTATTTTGGCATGGATTGATAACTTTGTAGAACCCAGACTGTTTTATAATGTATTTGTTTTATTTTTCTGTATATATTGTTATAGTTATTTTGTTAATGTGGTATAATCATATCATCTGTTCATTGTGAAACTTTTTTTTAGCTGACATCTGAAATGTTTCAAGCAGATCTTGAGAAGGCATTGTTGCTAAGTAAATTAGAATATGAAGAACACAAAAAGGTATTTACACATTTATTCACTTAGCTTTATTAGGTTTAAGTTGGCAAAAGTTAGGACCAGCCTTCCTGAATTTTGTATTAAAGTTCTTTTAAAGTTTGTTTTGGAAATCTATTACTTAACAAAATATTATTAAGCTTTTATAATAAGATTCCTCCTCAGGTTTTGATAGACAACAGAAACATGTAGGTTAAGCTTTGTCTGATCATTTGGAATGTTTAGTTACAAAGGTCCCTCCACCTAACGTGAAGGGAAGAGAGTAAATTAAATTAACAGTAGATAATTTATTTTAAATGAACATAGAAAATGAGTAGATTAAAAAATGTAAGGTAAGTATGAGTACAGGGGCATCATTAAGAGACCTTCTGCTAGAGATGATGCTACAATTAAGTAAAATATATGGGAGGATATTTCTGATAATTTGGCCATTTGAACTCAGCACTTGTCACTAAGCTGTGATAATGGGCTGTATGCTGATGCATTCTACATCTTATAGAATCACAAGATGCATTCTACATTTTGTAACTATATAAACATTAAAGCAAAAAGTAGTGTTTGTTTCCAGTTTATATATTTAAATTGAGCATTTATATTATCTTTATATTATTTAAATTTAGACCTTTACATGTATTGGGGTTTTTTTGATCCATAAAATTTATTCAACTTGTGATTACTTAGTAGTTGATCATAAGTGGCCTCTGGTTATACTTAAGGGCCTTTAGATTATGTCGTTGTGCACTAGCGCCTTCATTCAAGATGAAGGGAAGAGGGTAATTAAAATTTACAGTAGATGATTTTGCTATTTATTCATAGCTCAAGGAAAAAAGAAGAAAACCAGTAAACTTAACTTTTGTACACTATATGCGTTTTATTTTCCATGTCTCTATTCCTGTTATCCTGAAAAATAAGAATAACTATAATCCTGTTGTTACTTACCCATTTAGACACAAAGCTGGCAGTTACAAAAATTGATACAGCTAGCTTTATTGGGACTTAAGTCAGTTAAGGGACTTTCATGTTACATTGGAAATGTCCTCCGGACTTGCTCAATTTGAAGATAAAATTTATCAAATTGAAATTATTAAATAATAATGATTTGTTGTTTCTAGACATATGTCTAGATTCTAAAGCTAAAGTGTCTAGCTGTATCTTAAAGGAGTAGTAGAGTAGATGGTGTTGATTAAATATTATGCTTCCATGCCAGTTTTCTTGGCACAGTCGTAGATGTAATACCCAAAAGCATTGGTTTTATTACACAATGACTCTCAAAGAATGAACTCCTTTTGTATGTGATAGCTAGTTCAATGTCATTACATTGATGTAGTCATTGAATTTTAGGTCATTTACTTCAATTTAAAAACTATATTTCAGCTCCAGGATTTTTATAATAACTAAAGTTTGGGATGGCATTTTCTATTTTCTTATGTCACTTACTCAGCAAATATTCTTTTGAATAACCAAAATGTGGTAGGTACACAATATAAAGATTAGGACATGGTCTAAGCCCTTGATTTAGTGCAGGGAGATATACATACTATATTATGGTGCATAGTATTGAGAGATATATGTTCTCAGTGCAGTGGAAATTCAGAAAGATAGAAGAATTGTTTCTGCTTAGATGGGGAGGAATTTTAGGAAAGGATTCTTAAAAGAGGATCATACTACATATTAGAAGTTCACAGGGTAGCTCTGAAAGATGTGGCCCAGTTGGTTGGATCATCATCACATAAGCAAAATGTTGTGGATTTGAATCCCAATCAGGGCACATACCTAGGTTGCAGGTTTCAACCCTATTGGGTATGTATGGGAGGCAACTGAGCTATACTTCTCTCTCACATTGATGTTTCTCTTTCTCCCTTCCTCTCTCTGAATGCAATAGAAGAATGTCCTTTGGTGAGGATTTAAAAAATAAAAAAAGTTTGCAGCATAGGTAGTAGGAAAGTCAGCATTCTCAGGGAAGGAGTGACAAGTATACAAAATATGTACGTATGAAGGAGTATAGCATATTGAAAAACTATAATGTAGGAACTTAGAGTTGGTAGAATAAGGTATAAAGAACCTTTGTACCAGGCTAAGGAGATTAGATTTTATACATATACACAGAACTCTTGAATATTTTTAACTTTGAAATTGATTTTAAGTTTTCATTTTAGCAATTCATGCTGTAGCAGTGTAGAAGATGGATTGAAGGGCTAAAATTAGAGGGTTTTGGCAGTGTGAAGCAAAAGAGGATAGGGGAAATGACAGAAGGTATGAAGAAAAAATAGATTTAAGAGAGCTTTAAGAGATAAACCTAATAAGACCTACTGACTAATTTGGATATAAAATGTGTAGAAAGAGTAGGCAAGGACGACTCTGATGTTTTTGGCCTAAACAGATGATGGTGGCATTAAGTAAGAGAATTGGAGATGCTTGTTGAATATCTCAGGTCAGTCGTCTGCACATACAGAAATTGTCATTGTATAGGTAGAACTTTAAACTTTGAGTTTGAAAAACAATAGGTGTAAAGCGTAAGAATAGGTTAGAGTGGATTAATGGTCAATAACAGTTACATTTTTAAGAACAGAGTTGGGAAAAGGGAAGCCAGTGAAGGAGACTCAAGAATATTTAGAAATGTACTGAGAAAACCAAGAAATGCTTGAAAAACAATGTCTTTTAGATTTGACATTTAAAAGGAAGTTGACCTTAATTTTAGTGTCAGAGAAGAGAAGAAGCCAGATGTCGGGAGTTGGGAGGGAGAGTGAGAAAACAAATTGACTGTAGATTGTTGTTTTAAGTTTGGTCCAGAAATGATGAAGAAGAGGGTGGTGCCCTGATTGGTATGGATAAGTTGGTTGGGCAGTCACCAACCAACCAGCAAAACCACCAACCAACCACCAACCAGTCACCAGCAAAGCAAAAAGCTGCTGGTTGTTCTACTCCAGGTTAGAGTACATGCCTGGGTTGTGGGTTTGGTCCCCGGTTGGGGCACATACAGGAGGCAGCTGATCAATGTTTCTCTCTCACATCAATGTTTCTCTCCCTCTCTTTCTCTCTCCCTTTTCTTCTAAAAATAAAATCTTTTAAAATTTTTTATTTTATTTTATTTGTTGTTCAAGTACTGTTTTCTATCTTTTGCTCCCATCCCAGCCCACCGCTGCTGCCCCCCAGAGTAAATAAAATCTTAAAAAAAAAAAAGAGGGTAGCAAGTAGTGGTGGATATAGACCAAGTCATAGCTTTCTGTTTTTATTTTAATGTTTAAGAGGCAAGAGATTGAGTGTCTAAATAAACAGGTATCCTTTTATACAAGTTGGCTAGCCTAAGTTTTAATTTTTTATTTGCCATTTATCTTCAAAAAGAAAACTTTGGTAAACATATTACCTGTTGGTAAGTTGATTTTACAAGTGTACAGTAAGCTTAATGGTTGTTGATAATTCTTTTTAGGACTATGAAAATGCCGAAAATGCTTCAACTCAGTCAAAGGTTATGAGTAAAAAAGATAAAAGAAAGAATCATCAGGGAAAAGACAAACCTCCCACAGTATCACTAAAAGATTTTCAGTCTGAAGGTAATGTATATGTGAAATCTGTTATGCTAAAGCACTGTTATAAATCTTTGTATACTTAAGTTGTAAGGATCTTTCTCATTTTTAAAATAAGTAAACATTGTTTTGTTAATCTTCTACTTAGACTATAGAATGTAAACTTGTTTGGAAATAGGATGTTTAGTGGTTAAAGTAATTTAAAATCAATTAAAAACCCCATCACTAAAACTTATCTTTTTATATTTCTGAATTTGTCCCTTTTCTAACACTCACTGAAAATAAAAATTGGCATTTATAGTTTTTAGGTCATCATGGAACAAAGATATTATTGTCCTTATATATAAAGTCATTTGGCTTAAACTAGATCAGGAATAGTATCTTTAGCTTTCATCCATTATTGGTCAACCTCCTCAAGTTATCTGGAACTACATCTTAGAAAATTAAAATGCAAATTTTTAGAATGAGATATATTACCAGAAAACTATATTATTATTTTTATTTTCTTTTTGTAAAAAAGGGAAGGCAAAAGAAAATTATATCATCCACTAAATATTTGAAGACAGACTACAAAGCACTTTTTTTGATGTTGGAAATTGTGAAAACACTAGGTTCTGTACTGTATTCTATGATAGCCAATATTCCTGTGTGGTAACTTAAATATGAGTTAGTTAAAATCAACTAAAATAAAAAGTTTCTTAGTTGCATAGGCCACATTTCAAATGCTCAGTAGCCACATGTGACTAGTAGCTTCCATATTAGATAGCCCAGTCAAAAATTTTTTTTGAATAGGGCTGGGTGTATACCAGTCAGCTCAAGTTGCTAACCAAATGGACAGCTATTTGTTCATTAACAGAGCAGCCTATTTGATTGATATGAATTTAGCCTTAATACATTGGGGCATTCATTGTGTGAGGATTATTAATATTATAGCAGTAATCTAAGAAAAACCCCTACTTTACTATTTTTAGAAACCAGCCTATCTGTGAAATTGGGAATAAATTTAAAGGGTTATTTTGCTTTCCTTTATGGATCAGGAAAGTTGCTTTGTTTAGGGTTGAAAGAGCAGATGTATGTTAAAATAAAATTCCCAATTTTAGTAAAAAAGATTTTTATATAAGAAATATTTTATTAGAAACCAAGCAGAAACATAAAAATTTTTTAAATGTTTTTATTTTTTATATGTTTGATTTATTAAATATATAAATTTATTAGATGGATTGAGAAAGATCAATATGATGCTGTTAAAGGAAACTCTACAACTATTACAAGACATGATTAACACATTCTTCATCAGGTTCCGATATCATATTATAAGTTAAGTGGAACATACTAATAGAATGTATAATCTACCAGAATTTAGTAATTAGATCTCTGAAACTTGTGATTTTATCATTTACTGTGTTTATGGACTTGATTCTCATCAACAAATGCTTTAGAGAACTGGTTCAGCTTTTAGATTTTCAGTCACAAGAAAGCTATTCTACTCAATTAATTAGTCCTTGAGAATGGAAAATTTCCATTGTCCACAAGAGGCATTATTAAATATTACATATCCTGGTCATTTTCAATTTAAGAACACTTGCTCCCTAATTGTACTTCGGTATTAGCCTTCAGTCTGGGTGGATTCTCTTATGTGTCTTCCTTTTCCTCACTCTGTAATCCCTTTTTATAAATGCTGTGTTGTTACTAAATCAATGATTTGTTTAATTCAGATATATTCGTTTTGTCTTCCTTTTTTGTATTTATTCTATAATACATCAATTTTTAGAATTTTTAAATGGTATATCAAATCACTACAATGTATTTTAAAAAATAAACTAGCTAGTAGTTTTAAAGGACACAAATTACTATTCGACTTTTAATTTTGTTTGCTAAAGAAGTAATAAGTACAGTTTTTGCAACCACAATGTCCTGTGATTTGATTTTAGAAATTTTTGTACCCCCTCAAGTTCTCCCCTCCTTTCAAAAATATTAAATGAAACCAAAAACTTAAATGATGTAGAATTCAAATGTTTAAAATTTAGTAGTACCCTTTATGGGTGCTATCATGGGTGACATTTACTGGGTTAGAAGACCTGGTCCCTAAGCTGAACAAATTAATAGTTATATACTGAATTTTAACATCTTACCCCTAGAAAAAGAAATCTGATGAATCCTAGGCAAATCCCAAATGACTTCTGAAACTCTTACTATAATTTTGAAATTCTTTTGAACTACTTCATTTAAATATTTTACATATTAAAATATTTTCTATGTTAATGTTTTTCAATGAAGTGTCACTGTTTTTTCTTTTTTACAGATCATACTAGTAAAAAGACAGAGGTAAGTGTTGTAACCACATTTATTTTAGAAAACACTTGTGATTTCAAGAATAGTACTTGATTGTGTAGCAGTAAGTCTTTTTTGAGACATAGTCATTTAATGGACAACCCATAGGTTTTTCATGAGTAAATTTGATCATATTTCTGGCAGTTATAAGGATATAAAATACATTGTGGTAGAATGAAAATATGATTATGTGCATGAAATATAATAACATTTGGTTTTAGCATCCTAATTTGTGTGTACCTATGAGCCAAAAGGTTATATGATACATAAGTTAAAATTTTAGGGAAACTCAGCCTTTATTTTAACTTTTATTAAAAACATTCTGAAACCCTGTTTCAAGATATTTTGGACATAGAGAAATTGTGAGGTTAGCTGTGATAATATTGTTTATACCCATGGATAAGATTAACCCAATGATACACTTTTCTTAGCATTCACTATTAGCAGGTAGTGCAGCCATAACTAAGTTTTATTGGTTACTCTTTTTTTTAAGAGTCCATAGAGCCTTTTATAACCCTTTTAAAACTGGAAAATGAGACTGCTGTAAAATATCTTTTAATTTGAGGATGGTGCTAAAAATTGTTAAGAGTGCTTTTGACTTCTTTAGGTGATAATTTGAAAGTTTTATTCTTTTATTATGTGTGTATTTTGTCAGTAATTCCATTAATTGATTTTTTTTCAGATGGTCAGATATCCCTTGATTTCACTTTAGAGTACATATATGGTTCTTGATCTTTTTTTGTTGTTTCAGGCATTTGAAAACAACATCTAAATAAGTCTGTAATTATATTAGTTCCTAACTATTCGCACACAGAATTGATTTATTAGTAAAACAGATACTAGAAATTCTTTTGAAGTTATTAATAAACCATTGTTACCATTTCTTAGATTAAACTTAAATGACCACAAATATAGACTGAGTATTAATTTTATGTTTAAAAGTGGAAAACATGTACTTTTGGATTGATTCCTTTTTTTAAAATCCATTGATTTAAATGGAAGTTAGCATTATGTGAACGGGCAAGCAGATAGAAATGGTACACCGTACTCCTAAGAAACTACCCCCAACTGTTAGTAGAGGGAAAAATAATTTTTATAAACTGCTCCATTCTTGCTTTTTCTTCTTTCCTAATTTGAAAGAAGAAAAAAGTCAGAATGACCAGGATTTCATCTATTTAATATACACACTTAATCTGATTGTATTTAAACAAGCATAGGTATGTGGCATAGTATACATTTTGTCTTTCATTGTAATTTAAGAGCTATGCTCACATTTTCTGGTAAATAACTTGATATGTAATAAAATTTACTTTAAATAATTCCAATTAAGAGATTTTCTGTATTTGTAAGTGCAGTCTAATTGTAATTTATTTCTTATGTAACTGTTTTAAGAAAATGTAATTCACATTATTGTTGTAACTTATTATACCGAAGTGATGTTCCATTTTCATTATTGGTATTACTTTCTGGGACTTGAATATTTAAGTGGTTATGCCATTGCTCTAATAATTTAGAAAAACTTTTTTTCAGTGAGTTCAAAAGAGAAGTTTGAAAAAAATTCTGATTTCAACCCTAAAATGACATGTTTTCTGCTCCTAAAAATTACTAGTCTTTGTTATATTGTATGCTGAATAATTGATTTAATTCTTTCCATCTTTAATATTTTACTTACATCAAGAGGTTTTTTTCCATGGGTACTCTAAAATTCATAAACTCTGTGGAGAATTATATACATCCCACCCTTCCCCTCATAAATCAGGAATTCACTGGACAAAATTCAAAAGGAAAACTATTTTTTGCTGGATGATGAGGATTACTTGATTGCCTGTGTATTTGTCTAACTGCTAGCTAAACTTGTTCTCAGGTTAATTTCATCATTCCCCTTTTTCTTTTTCCATTCACCTCATAATTTATGATTACGTGTTATTAGTCTCAGTACTTTCTTTCAGTCCCAGTGCTTTGTAATCTTTCACCCTGAAATGATTAAAATAAATGACACTTTCAGGAGTAAAGGATGGAAACAATTTTTCTTCATTAAATGTGCAGGAGCTCTTGGCTGCCTCTGCTATCACCAGTCCCCTACCCTTCACTACGGTGTAGTCAAGAAAATCTTACGAGAAGTCTAGACAGGCACAATGAATAATAGTGTAGGTACTTGTACACACTTCTTAAAAACCTCAAATGACCATGTCTTTAAAATAGCATTATTTGATCCTTGAAGTTGTTTTGTTTGTTTCTAATTTTAATGTGTTTCCTTTGTAAATGCCAGTACTGCTAGATTAAGTATCTCATAGCTACTCCTTTTTCTTTAGTCTTACATTTGCCTGGCCTGTCCTCTGGTACCATTTAATATTTTTAAAAATTTTAGTGCTCATCATATGTCTTGAAGTCTTAAATTTTATAAGGTCAAATCTTTAATATACTTGAATAGATGATCTCTAGGAGAGCACCCAAGAATTTTTACAGTTGCCAAAGGGTAGAGAAGGAGAGGAACTGGGATGGGAGAAAGGCTAACTTTTCACAATATAAATGTTTGAATTTTCTATCATGTTTGTGTACTATCTGTTAAAAATTATATTAATCTCTGGCTGGGTAGGTAAGTGGTTAGAGCGCTGCCACTGATAGGCTAAAGTTGTGGGTTCAGTCCCCACTCAGGGTATATACAAGAATCAACCAAATAAATGCATAAATAAATGGAAAAACAAATCAGTCTCTTTCTCGCTCTCAAAAAAGAGAAAGCTGGGGAACAAACCCAGTTCTGTCTAGATCCATAGCCCATTTCTTTTTATTGCATTATGCTTCCAAAATCTCTACATTAGATATATGAGTTTGAATAAATAAATTTATTCATTTTAGGCCCTAGCCATATTAGCTGAAAAGGAAAGATTTAATTTGTTGATTTCTACAATTATGATAAATGATCAGTGCGTGACTGAAATAAATATTATATGCTAAAAAAGTTAAACCCTATAGTTAATGCTGCCAAAGCACAGGAGAATAACAGTATTAGTTAGACCATTAAATTCTAAAAGTAATAAATGCTACCCAGCTTTTAAAAATCTCACCTAAAATTTGGTTTTACCCAAGCAATTCAACCTATTATCTTACTCCTTTCAATGTGCTAAACTCATTTTTGTGTCCATGCCTTATTTGTATTTATTATATTTGTTAGCTTGCTTTGGTTGTAACAGAAACCTGAATCAATACAGCTTAAGCAAAAGAGAGACATTTATTGGTTCATGTAACCAAACAGTGGAAGAATAGGGAAAGAGCTGGCTTCATAGTTGACTAGATTGAGAAATTTATATAGTTTGGGGACTCTTCATTTCTCTCCTAAGTCTCAGTTGCTATCTTTCGCTTCACTCATGGCAGATCACTTTATTATGGGGGAATCTCAAGAGTTATGTCTTTAACGGATATTATATAAACTGTTAATTAGCTTTTGAAGCTTGATAATTTAGGTCGGCTTTTGTTTTGTTTGTTTTTGAGGAGATGAGGGAAGCAAGAGTATTTTCTAGATGATGCAATGTGCTTCTAGGCATATCTCAGGGGGAATAGAATTTTTCTGGTGTTAAATTGAATCTCCATTAAAAGGAACCAGATTACTTGAAGAAATATGGCTGCTTCTATGGCTGCAACTGGGGATACACAAGATGAACCTGGAGTGTCTTGTGATGTTAGAAATCAAGGAAGTACTTAAAAATATATATATAGGGGCATGTCACAGGGACATAGGAAACAACCTAAAATACCTCCCTATGTCCACAGCTGGGACAATTTGAGATACAAAGTAAATAATACACATAAAGTATTGGTACCCAGAGTATAAAGTACTTATCCATAAGTTGATAGTCATATAAATAAGTTATTGAATAAATAAATAAATAAAGGGAGAGAAGAGACAAATCTCCTGTACAGAAAATATAAATAATTTATATAGATATTACCCCTCTGGAGGAGAGAACTTGTTCCACTCTCCTTGAGTAACGAGCTTCCAAAAAGAGGGTGTACAAAGGGAGGGAAAGTAACTTTATATTGGAGAAACCTAGCAAACACAACCTTGACCATGTGATCAATGCCAATATTATTAGTGGTAAATTATGTTGATAGCATGTACCCTTGATTTGATATGATATATGATGAAAATGGCCTATGACTTTGTGGTCTCTCTCTCTGTCTCAAAAACCACAACCCAGTCTAACCATGAGAAACATAGACAAACCCAAATCAAGGGACAGTCTACAAAATACCAGACCAGTAGGACCAGTACTCCTTAAAACTATCAAGGATATCAGAAAAAACTCTGAGAAACTGTCATGGACCAGAAAAGCCTAAGGAGACATGATGACTAAATGTAATATATCCTAGATGGGATCTTGGAACAGAAAAAGAACAGTGGAGTCTAGTTATAATAATGTGGCAGTGTTAGTTCTTTAGTTGTAAAGTGTACTGTGATAATGTAATATGTTATCAGAAGGAGAAACTGGGTGAGAGATGTATATAGAAACTCTGTCTAATCAGAAACTTTTTTGTTAGACTATTCTAAAATTTTTTTAAAGTTTGTTCAAAATTTAGATCAGTGATTTCAGGGGTTGTCAGCCATTATAAAGTTTTCCATCACTTTCAGTGGTTTTAGCAGCTATTAATGATTATTTCCTTGATTTATTATTTTTTAGAGTTCTTTATTAAATTTAAAATTCAGGAATACATGCATATAGTATTATAATAATGGAATGGTAGAGGAGAGTTTATGAAGTCAGAAGTCTCCCAGACGTTACCCTTTTCTTACTACTTTGGAAATTTATTTTTCTCACATTTGAAGATTGACTCTGCATCAAGCCTTGCGAAAGTATTTGGAGGTTTTCTGCACCCAGTATATTTTTTCATAGTACTTTGCCTACCCATGTATTTTTCCGTGCATCTTCCTCAGTGGTGTCTTGTCCATGAATAGCTGTTCTTGTGAAGGGGAACAAAGTCAGGAATGACCTGTTTTG